AGTCTAGACTTTCTAAGTGGTTAAGTGTGTTTTGAGACCTTTATGCGACCTTAAGAAGCTAAGTGTTAGGCTTAGGACTCTAGGTTGCGCGGTGAGTTATGTGTTGCTTTCTGTCTTGCTTGTTTGCTCTCTTTTGGTAACCTCGTTGTTGTTGTAGAAGTTTGCGATGCCTCCTCGTCCCCGCGCTCGCACCCCGGAGACCCCGACGAACGAGCAGCTCGCTCAGAATCTCCATCAGCTGACGCAGACGATGTAGACGCTCAGTGAAGCCTTGCTGAACAACAACCAAGCTGTGCCGCCTCCTCCCCCTGCTGGGCACTGAGATGTAAGACGTTTGGTGTCGGGTCATCGACCGCCAACCTTCGCTGGCGAAGAAGACCCGGTAGTCTTGGAAGAGTGGCTATGGGTGTTTGATAAGATCTACACCGTTGTGGGTTGCCCCGAGGAGAGAAGAGTAGAACTGGCAACGTTCTACTTCTGCCAAGAAGCTGATTTGTGGTGGGTCCACGAAGGTCCGACCTTCCTTGAAGAGCCTGGGTTTGATTGGACCGCGCTCAAGGACAGAATGCGCAAGAGGTTCTACCTAGCGCATGTGCGAGCCGCCATGTTTAATGAGTTCCTTCATATGCAGCAAGGGTCCTTATCTGTGGTCGAATACCACAAGAAGTTCTTGGAGTTGGCGCGCTTCGCGAGGATTCTTGTGCCTACGGAGCTTGCTAAGGTTGAGAGTTTCGTTGCCGGTCTGAATAATGAGGCAAGAAAAGTGTTGACGGTGAGTAGGCCAAGTTCCCTTAAGGATGCGTATCTGAGTGTCCCGGATCTGTATCGTGTTCAGCAGCTTCAGAAATGATCATATGAGCTAGCTAGGAAGAGGGTTGAGAGCGGAGGTTCTTCCACCTTCAAGAAGCCCCGATCGAGTTTTCAAGTCAAGGCCGTGTCATCTTCTTCTCAAGGACCTATCAGGGTGGAGCATCGGGATCAAGCTAAGTCGGTTGTTTGTCGAAGATGTGGGAAGGTGCACGCAGGCCAAGATTGTCATGGCCAGGCGTTTAGGTGTTTCCGATGCGGGGATCGTGGTTACAAAGTCGCGGAGTGTCCCCAGCTTGTCGGTCAGAGAGCGTTGCCGCTACCCCCGAGAGCCGGAGGAGCATCGGGAGGGAGCTCGGGTCGCGGAGCAGTCGGAGCTAGGCCACCTGGAAGGGTTTTCGTGATGGCGCGTTCTCAGGCTGAGTCAGAGGGCTTGATGGAGGATGAAGTGGCAGGTAACCCCTTTCTTCTAGCCTATCCTTGTTTCTTTTTCCAAAATCATCGTGTTCGTTGTGTCTTGAGTGTTACCTTGTGTTTCGTAGTTGTCTTTTGCTTGGCAATCTTTGGTATGCCTTTCTTTGATAGCAACTCTTTTGGGGTTTAGTGTAGACTCTTCTTGCTAAGTGATTCCTTTAGTTTGGTATATAAGCTTCGTTGTGAAGTTAGCAATCCATCCTTGTCATGTTTTGCGATTTGGGCCAATTCTACAATCTTTATACTTGGTTGTTCTTACAACAATTCCTTGTGAACTCCCTAAATTTTCCAAGTATTCTTTGAATTTGGAAATAGCAAAATTCATACCAAAAACCTTTCCTTGTGTAGCTTTAAAGCCAAGCCTAATGTTTAATTGTAACTTAAGAGTTTCAAACCCGAGCCTAATCTTTGTCAACCCAACCTCTAAACCACTTGAGCCAATTGTCTTTCTTGAAACCTAACCAATTTTAATTCCATTTAAACCACAAATTTCCACCTTACCCAAATCCCCAAATTAAATAATCTTTTTCCCCAATTTCTCCCAAATCCCTAAAATCTCCAAACTCCCTTTCCTTTCTTCCCTCTCCACCTGTGTGTGTAGCCGAACCCCACCCCCCGTAGCTTCACCTGCAACCCGCCACCACCACCTACTCGTCGCCGAGCCACCGCCCTTCGCCGCCGAGTCGTCGCTGTCGATCTCCGTCGCCGGAGCTGTGCCGCCGAGAGAGGGAAGCCGAGCGAGAGAGCGAGAGAGAGCAGCGAGAGAGAGAGGAGAAAGAGGAAAAGCCTTGGGTCCTTTTTGTTGAGCTTTGGGTCATCTTCAATCATGCCTAGAAGGTCAAGTTTTGCAAGAAAAGCGGAATGGGTGGATACCCATTACCTTGTCATTGAAGGTAAAGCTTTTGATCCGGAATCTTTTCCTAGTTCCTTGTTGGATATGCATAGGTATCAAGGTTTGTTGGATGGGTTTCTCGCCATAAGGGCCGAGACTTACCCGAGTTTGGTGAAAGAGTTTTATCTTCACATGGTTGTGACAAAGAAGGGTGATAAGTTGGAGATCACCTCTAAGGTGAGGGGTGTGAAGGTTGTGTTATCTGAAAAGAGGTTGGCTCAGTTGTTGAGTTTGCCAGCTACCGGAGTGGCTCAGTACAGTGGTCATTCTTGAATTAGTACGGATACCATGGGGTACCGTGACTATTTGAGCTACCTGTTGGGCCGTACGAGTGGTTTCACTCAAGCCTCTAGGCCGGAGAAGAAGTGGTTGTCTGCGGAGCAAAGGATCTTGGTGATGTTGGTGTCGGATTGTTTGTTGCCTAATAACAACAAAAGCAGTTTGTTGGGTAAGTTGGAGTGCACCTTTGCCTTTTGCCTCAAGAACATGGTTAAGTTTAACCTGCCTGCTTTGATGATGCAACACATGGTGTTTTGCCGGGATCACAATCGGAAGAGCTTACCATATGAGATGGTGCTGAGTTGGATCTTGGTTAAGAAAGGTGTTAGTGTGGACGGTTGCCTCCCGAAGGCCGTGGGAAAGATGGTGTTGGATATCACCAATCTCCGGAGTTGTAATCTTTTTCAGTTGGATGATGATGAGTACATCACGCTTGAAGAGGTTGCAAGGAAAGCACCTGATGAACGGGCGGAGTTAGCTGCTGAGCTTGGAATCCATGCCGGGAAGTTGAGCCTCGCAGTCCAAAGTTTGGGTGGTGACGAAGAAGTTGAGGAGGAAGCAGACCAAGAAGAGGAAGTGGAAGTACCGGAGGCCGTCGAAGCTGAAGAAAGTGATTCGGACAATGAGGAAAACCGGAGAAGGAAGGAAGGAAAACCGGTGAAGTTTAGATGAGCGTGATGTCTAGTGCCTGGTAGCTTAGTACCTTGATCCTTGTTTTGTGGGGGTGCGCCAAATGTAGTTTTAGACTGATGTCTTTGGGATAGATGTATACACTTGCAGATTGACCGTCGTAGCGTTTACCGTGTTTGGTAGACGTGGCGTAACACCCCATTTGGATTTCTTTTATCCAGTTCTCGTTTTATCTTCTGCTGTGCTAGTTTTGTTGTTTGATCTGCATGTGTTAAGGCTTTTTATCTAGCTTGTTTGGGGGGTGTTACACGTGGTCTATCGTTGGACGGTTCTTGACTGACTGTAATCTGAAGGTGGAGATGATGAAGATGGTTATGGCGTCTGCATGGCGCCCGTTGATGGGGATAGAAATCACTGATGTTCAGCCGGGGCTTTATCTGTTTATTTTCTTTGATGAGGCTGATCGACGGCGTGTTCTGGAGGAGGGGCCCTGGGCTTTTGAGAATTCTATGTTTCTCTGTCAGCCGTTAGAAGGTGATGATAATCCGGCTACGGTGGAGTTGAATACAGTCGACCTTTGGGTGCAAGTGTTTCAGCTCCCAACGGGATATCGGACGGAAAAAGTGTTGGAGAAGGTGGGGGACTTTCGTTGGTGTATTCCTGCGAGTTGATGATCGAAATTTTGTAAGGTCATGGTCTGTGTTCTATAGGATTCGTGTACGTCTTAATATAGCAAATCCTATTAAACGGCGCATGAAGATGATTTTGCGCGACGGGTCGTGGGTGTGGATTGAGTTCAAATATGAATGGTTGAATGTTTTCTGCTTCTTTTGCGGCAAGCTGGGGCATATTGACAAGTTCTGTTTGGAGGCTCGTAGGTCCTCTATGTCGCCGGCGCAATATCTGTACGGCTCTAGGTTGAAGGCGGGGGTATGGGTGCAGCTAAAGTGTTGGGGGATAAGTGGTTCCAGCTCGGTCAAGAGAGGAGAAGGGAGATTGGTTATGGGGGAGTTACGGTGGGTGGTGGCCAAGCTCGGGGCTTGCGGGTTAGGGGTGCCGTGAGGGGGGAGGATTGCGGTTTGGTGGCGGGGCACGCCAGGGTTGAAGGTTCGGGTTCGGGAGTGGTGCCGGTGCTGGTGTCTCTGGTTGTTGCTATGGTTGAGGGACCCGAGGGGGAGGAGTTGGGTTTACGGGTTGATCCAAAGCGGCGGAGGGGGCCGGGGGGTGAGGTGGTGAGTGAGGGGAGGGGGATGCAGGTGGAAACAGTTCATAACAATATGGTGGGACCTGGGGACCAGGCCCGCCGCTCTCGATGAGTACTTTATTCTGGAACTGCCGTGGCTTGGGTAATCCACGGACGGTTCAGGAGGTGGTGGACTTAGTGTCCAAGAAGAAGGCCGAGTTCATTTTTTTGATGGAAACAATGGTAGATAGGAGTCATGCTGAGAGGCTCCGTGTAAAACTGGTATTTGAGGGGTGTTTTGCGATTGATAGTGATGGTCAGAGGGGTGGAATGTGTTTTTTATGGGCAAAGAATAATGGTACACGTTTGATTAAGTATTCGCACAACCACATTGATTTGGAGGTGTCATTGCCAGATAAGCCTCTTTGGAGATTAACATGTTATTATGGGTATCCACAGAGGGACAGGAGGAGGGCTGCATGGGATTTTCAAAGATTTCTCAAGGGGGTTTATGATCTTCCTTGGGTGGTTTTGGGGGACTTCAATGATTTGTTGATGCAGTCAGATAAGAGGGGTAGGTTGTCACATCCTGTTGGTTTGATTGAGGGGTTCGGTGAAGCATTGGAAGACTGTGGTTTGATGACATTGCCCATGATTGGATACCCTTACACGTGGGAGCGTGGAAAAGGGACTGCTTGCTAGGTTGAGGAGCGCTTGGATAGGGTGGTGGCGAATATGGACTGGCTACAGGAGTATGATAGGGCGAGGTTTTTTAATATTCGAACTGACTCGTCAGATCATACAGCGCTCTTTCTGGATATAGTTGGGGTGGTACATGTGCCGAGGTCCCGGGGTTTCCAGTTCGAGAATGCATGGCTCCTGGATGGTGGTTACAGGGAAGTGGTGGAGAGGGAGTGGGCTAGTACCCCGGGTTTGACGTTGCAGGCTAGACTTGGTGTATGTGGTCGGGGTCTGAGGAGGTGGGGTGGTGATCGGCATCATAAGTATGGAAAACGGATAGAGGGTATCAAGAAGGAGATGAATGGCTTGCGGGGTAGCCGTGACCCTGTTTCTTTGGCTCGGTTTAGGTAGCTTGATGAGCAGTTGGGTGTTGTTCTAGCCTAGGAGGAGGCATTCTGGAGGCAGCGTGCTAAGCAGCACTGGCTCTAGGGGACTGACAAGAATACTAAGTTTTTCCACAAGTATGCTTCGTACCGGAAGAAAAAGAATGTGATCCAGAGGCTTAAAGATGATGGTGGTGTTTGGAGGGAGGGTAGTGCTTTGGACCGGTGGTTACCAGTTATTATAAGCAAATCTTTGCTTCGGGCGGGAGTCCAAGGGTTTTCAATGTGGATACCATGCGGTCTTGTATAACCAGGGAACAAAATGATGATTTGTTATGACCCTTTGAGCCGGATGAGGTACGGAGTGCTTTATTTTCTATGGGAAAGGATAAATCACCGGGACCGGATGGCATGAACCCAGGCTTCTATTAGTCCTTCTGGGATGTTATTGGTAAGGATGTTTCTGATTTTGTGTTTCATTGCTTATTTGAGAAGTCTTTTCCTGCTAATTTGAATGATGCCAATATTGTATTGATACCCAAAAAATGCTCCCCTGTATCTGTGTCTGACTTAAGACCAATAGCTTTATGTAATGTGCTGTATAAGATAATTGCTAACCGGATGAAACCGTTTCTTGAGGGTATGATTTCTGTTTCTCAAAGTGCCTTTTTACCTGGAAGGCTGATCTCAGATAATATACTAATTGCGTCTGAGGTGGGTCATTATTTGAGGAGGAAACAGTTGGGGCAGGTTGGTTGGGCGGTCTTAAAGCTTGATATGGCGAAAGATTATGATAGGATGGAATGGCCTTTTGTGCGGCAGATGATGACTGGTTTGGGTTTTGATGACAGATGGGTCCAGTTGGTAATGATGTGTGTGCAGACAGTGCGGTACAGGGTGCTAGTCAGTGGGAAACCTTCTAAGGAAATAGTGCCCACGAGGGGGCTCAGGAAAGGAGACCCTTTGTCTCCTTATCTGTTTATAATTTGTGCCGAGGGTTTATCGTTGTTGTTGCAGGACTCACAGGCTAAAGGGCTATTACATGGTTGTAGAGTGGCCAGGGGGGCACCATCTATCTCACACTTGTTTTTTGCAGATGACAGTTTGCTTTTCTTTAAGGCTAACTTGCAGGAGGCATTGGAGGTGAGGAAATGTCTGGGAATTTATGAGTCTTTCTCGGGTCAGGCAGTTAATTTCCAGAAATCAAGTATTACGTTTAGCCGTGATACAATTGTGGAGGATAGGGACCTGGTCGCGAATGCTTTGGGGGTGGCCCAAGCTGATGATTTCGGCAAGTACCTTGGTTTGCCTTCTGTTGTAGGCCGGAATAGGAGAGCGGTTTTCGCATATGTTGAGCAGAAGTTGAGGCAGAGGTTTGGTTCATGGAACAAGAGACTGTTATCCAAGGCAGGGAAGGAGGTGCTTCTGAAGAGTGTGGCTCAGGCGATGCCTACCTATATACAATGAGCATTTATTTACTCCCTTTTACTTTGTGTAATGCTCTAGAAAGATTGATGAATAGGTACTGGTGGGGACAAAAAGGCTCACAGGGTAGCATTCACTGGATGTCCTGGGACCGAATGTGCGTGCCTAAGAAGTTTGGAGGTATGGGTTTTAAGCGCCTGCATGAGTTCAATATCGCACTTTTAGCTAAGCAGGGGTGGTGGTTATTAACCAGTCCTGGGTCCCTTGTGGCTCAGGTATTTAAGGCCAGGCATTATCCTACATCTACGTTTTTTGAAGCTACAATGGGTGGTAACCCGAGTTATGCTTGGAGGAGTATTTTCGCAGGTCAGGCATTGCTAAAATCAGGATGCAGGCGAAGAATTGGCAATGGCAGGACCACAAGGGTTTTGTTTCATCCTTAACTACCTGATGCTAATGATCCCTATGTGGCCTCTAATCACCCGGGTTTGAATCAGGATCTACTGGTTTCAGACTTGATTGATAATACCACCAATGGGTGGACTGATGATCTTATTCAGCATCTGTTTGCCCCACGCGATGTGCTGCTCATTAAACAACTTCCTGTTAGTATGGAGTGTGATGATGTATGGTTTTGGGGCAGGGGTTTGAGAGGTTGCTACTCGGTTAAGGATGGTTACAGGAGGTTGGGAGAAGTTAATGGACCTTGTTTGCCTGTGTGGGGTAATCTATGGAAATTACAGGTCCCTCCGAAATGGAAGAACTTTCTGTGGAGAGCTCTGTCTGACAACTTGCCAACTCTCAACAATTTGATTAATAGAAGGGTTGAGTTGGTTAATATTTACCCAGCTTGTGGATTGGAGGAGGAGAATGATATGCATATTTTATGTTCTTGTTTTTTTGCTACACGTGTATGGAACATATCTCAACTGCTTATTCCTTCTTTTAACGGCAGGAGTTTTGGTCAATGGACGGAGCTATGGCTTGGCACCTCGGCCACTTACAATTCAGAAGCACAGGGGAGGATTTGTGGTTTGTTATATGATATTTGGACTGCCAGGAATGAGGCGGTTTGGGATGGTCGTTTGCCGGTGCCGTTTGTGGTGGTTCAGCGGTTCACGACTAGGTGGGATTCTTGGATTGCAAGCGAGCATCACCGCAGCATCACTCGTGTATCACATGCGCCCCAAGGGCCGAGTTCGGCTTTGGATGGTGGCGTGATTTGTCGTGTAGATGCGGGCTTCCATGGATCGAATCATGCTCCAGCTTTTGGTTTTGTTGTACAGGAGGTCGATGGAACCTTTGTGGCGGCAGGGAATGGACTTCTTATTTGCCCGTATGACCCCCTCTTGGCGGAAGCTTTAGCTTTGTGTGAGGCATTATCGTGGCTAAGGAATAATGGCTTCTCAATGGTCTCAGTTTACACGGATAGCTTGGTTTTGGTTTCTAGTCTTACGCATGCTAGTTCCTTTCGTACTTATCTTGGTTATGTTTTTGCTTTCTTGTAATCATTTGCTTTCCACTATGACTAGATCAGTAGTAAATCATGTTCGTAGGGATGCTTTACAGGCTGCCCACGTTATGGCAAAGCATGTAACTGCCTCTTTGGCACGAACACAATGGAGGGATGTTCCTCCTCCTTTTCTTGAGCCTGGTATGGCTAATGCATTATGAGTTGTTGGCTTTAAAAGTATATATAATTATATGTACGTCAAACATCTTGTGCTCAAATGGCGCTTCTGTGACTCCCCTTGGGGGAAGCTCATAGGATAGAACACATACTATATTGTAATAGAGTCAATAGTATTCAAAAAAAAAATAGTTATATTCGCAAGATAACTAGGGAATGTTACTATTCAAATTCGAGCCGAAACGGAACTTTTAAACCGAACCGAACTAAAATTTGAAATTGAATGGTTTCATTTTTTCGAAACCGAAATTACTTTCTTTCGCCGTTACCGTTAACAGCGTTTGTCTTCAAAAGTCTATGTTCATAATTACTGAACTCTATGTTCATAATTTTTGAACTCCATATTCACAATTATTGAACTCTATATTCATAATTATAGAACTCTATGTTCATAATTATAGAACTCTATGTTCATAATTATAGAACTCTATGTTCATAATTTTTGAACTTTTAGAAGTCTATGTTCACAATTACTGAACTCTATGTTCGTAATTTTTGAACTCCATATTCACAATTATTGAACTCTATATTCACAATTACAGAACTCTATATTTATAATTATAAAACTCTATGTTCATAATTTTTGAACTCTATGTTAATAATTTTTGAACTCTATATTCACAACTGCAGAACTCTATATTCACAATTTTTTATGTCGCTGAATTCTTTTGACAATTTTTTTTTAAAAAAATCTGATTGGTGGAGGAAAATGGTGTCACCGTGACCGCTAACGGCACCTTTATTCCAAAATTGCCAAAAAGCTTCGTAGTGAAACTGTGTCCACCTTATAAGGTGGACAAGGTTCCACGACATAACAATTGTGCCATTGCCCTTTTAAAAAAATGATTACCATAAAAATGGTACTTTACACATAAATATCCAACTTTTTAAATCTGTATAATTTTATCTCTCTTTCTTGTTTTTTTGCACAAAAAAGGTCATCACCACAGTTTATTCACGAATTATTTCCAGCAATGGTCCTCCGACTATTGTGATTTTTCAAAATTGGTCATCAACTTTTAATTTGGACGAAAAATACACTTGACTTTCTAATTTGTTCCTACAATTGTCCTTATGTTATTCATCCGTCTCTTATCCGTTAGTTTAGGGGGCAAAATGATCTTTTCATTATCTTGCTTTCTTCTTTCTCATTTTCCACTTAGACGCAAGTATATTTGACGCAGAGAAGATTTTAGCAGTGTTGCAAAAATTGCGGCTAGGCGCTAGGCGGCCCCCGGCCGCCGCGAGGAATGTCGGAATCGACCTCCTCCACGGCCGGCCGGCTAGGTTGTCTAGGCGGCCGCCTAGACCGCCTAGCCGGCCGGTTCGATCGATTTTTTTTTTTTTTTTTTTTTTTTAAGGTTTAGGGTTTAAAACTTTGTCGAGGCATATCTTTTGACTCGGTTGTCTGTTTTGGATAAATTTTTTTTTCAAATCGCGTATTTTTTCGAGATCTATACACCGCAAACAACCGAGAAGGCGATTTTTTCCCACTAATTTCTCAAAAAAAAAAAACTTCTTTAGCTCTTAATTTTAGTTTTTTATGTATTTAGACGGTTTAAACAATCTTGCGAACAATTTTATAACCACTTACATAAATAGTTTGTAAGAAATAACTATGGGAACCTTATGTTTCATAAGTGAATTTTGATAATTTTTAATTTTTAATTTTTAATTTTTTTATTAAAAAAATAAAAAATAATAAAAAACAAATAAAAAATAAAATAAAAAAATCGGCGGCTATGCACCCCCTCGGTGTCTAGGGGGCGCCCCCACGACGCCTAGGAGGCGCCCCCACGACATCTAGGGGGCGCCTAACGTGTTTTGCAACATTGGATGTTAGTACTAAATATATATATTACGTACCGTACTTACTAGTATATATGTATTGGTATATGTTAAACCTACAAATGAATTAAGGAAATTAAGGAATGCATGTGTATGTGCGTGGAATGTGGAAAAGAAAACAATCGTGATTAATGCATGCATGTAATTAGTGAAGAAACGTGAGGTGTGAAAGAAATGGAAAATGCATGCATGAAAAAGTGTGCGTGAGTTGTGGAAGAAATGGAATAAAGCATGCTTTCTGGAATATATGTGGAACGTGTACGCATGTGTGCTGTACGTGGATGTATAAGGCATGAAATTAGGAAATTAAATTGCCTAATTTCATGGTGACATTTGCTATAAATTGAGATTCATGTAATGAAAAAATTGAATTTTTCAAAATTAGGAAAAGAGCAATGTCATTTTGGAAGGTGCTACAAATTAGTATTTGAAATACTCTAAAAGGAGAACTTTAGATAGGAAAGGATTGGTGTACTATCAGGAGAATTTAGCTCTACTTTATTCAGTACAAGTTGTGTTAAAATTCAGGTTGGTTACAATTTGTTTAATTGGTAGAATTAGTTCAAATTGTATTGTATAATTTTTCATAGAGTTGTTTTTATACGGTCAATGTATAAATAGGTGGTAGACCAAGTTTTGTAATTCATTGAGCCTTGTAATTGTAAAAACCGCGGGTTGATCTTTAGTGAAAAAGTTTTGGGCGTGGCCTCGCAGATTAAGAGGTGTTCTCCAACTACGTTAAAAAATTCAGCTGTGTACTTAATTTGGCGCTTCATATATTTTTACATATTGTGTTACATATCTGCATTACATAATTTCAATTGGTATCAGAGCAGTGTCACTCAATTTGCTAGCGAGATCCTAGGGATACTCGAGTATTGTTTTGCACAATGGAAGAGGGTTCCTCATTTACAAGACCACCGTTGTTGAAAGGAGTAAGCGACTATGCCTATTGGAAGGCTAGGATGTAAGCCTTTATAAAATCGTTGGATGAAGAATGTTGGGATGCAGTGGAAAATGTGTGGACCCCACCAACGATGATGGATGTAGATGAAGAGAAGAAAAAACCACTGGCCCAATGGACACATGATGAGAAGAAGCAAGCATCATCAAACAATAGAGCTATGAATGTGATTCACAGTGTGTAACACCCCACTTTTCTAACTCTTAAGTACATCTCTAAACAGTCATTAACATAAACTAAGCAGCGGAAAACTAGAAGATAAGTAGTGGGAGGGTCACCGCCACAACCACCACTCTTTGGGGATTGCACAGGCTAAAAGGGGTAAAACTAGAAATAAGATTAAGTCCGGGTATTAAAAATAAATACTGGAAACTTAAGGGGGAAAAACGTCACCCCAAATAGTCTACATCAATCCTCAAACATAAAGTCGATAAAACTAAAATCCATACATAAGATCAAAGGTACTAGAGTTTAGATATCTTTATCTACGAGACTAATCTAACTCGACTTCTTCACACAGCTAGGCCCACCTGAAAGGGGTTTTGCAAGCAACACATAGACAAATAGGAAAACACCCGTTAGCACGAAGCTAAGTATAACCACACTCAACCCTGTAAAGCATTCTAGCATATACTTTGAAAACATTTGATATCTTTATAACAATAAGCTAATCTCAAATCATCTTAAGATTTATCACATTCTTTCTAGATGCATGCACCCTATAATATCAGCTGGCATGCTCATGTATGTACAAGACTGTTCACATAGATTCAACAGCTTATAAACTTCTTAAGTAACTTAACAAGCAATTCATGCTTACGGATTTAATCATGTTAAAAGACCATATAACAGGTAATTACATGCTTTCACATTCTTATCTTATACCTTGATAAGTAGAGCTTCTACTACAACACGATAATCTTGCTCAAAGGAATATCTTAAGTCAAACTTCTCGTTATACAATCTCTTACGATGCTCTATTCGCATGCAATCACGTATAACATTATGATCATACTTCTTATGCAATCTAGTGCAACATTATATTCATACTCATGTGCAATCTCGTGCAATTATATAATCATACTCTTATGCAATCTAGTGCAACAATATACTCATACTCATACTCATATGCAATCTAGTGCAATAATATACTCGTACTCATATGCAATCTCGTGCAACAATATAATCATACTCTTATGCAATCTAGTGCAACAATAATATACTCGTACTCATTAGCAATCTCGTGCAACAATATAATCATACTCTTATGCAATCTAGTGCAACAATATACTCATACTCATATGCAATCTAGTGCAATAATATAATCATACTCTTATGCAATCTAGTGCAACAATATACTCATACTCATATGCAATCTAGTGCAATAATATACTCATACACTCTTATGCAATCTAGTGCAACAATATACTCATACTCATATGCATTCTAGTGCAATAATATACTCTTACACTCTTTTATAAATTAGAGTACTTTCTTTGGAGGTCTCTTTGTTACTTTCTCGAGTCTCTCTTGACTCTCTTTCTTTCTCTCGAGTCTTTATTGACTCACTTTCTTGAGTCTCTGTTGAATCTCTTTCTTTCTCTTATACTCGTAGACGGCTTAGGGTTTCACAGAAGTGTGAATTACCCCATCGGGAACGGCATAATTTCCGACCCAATATCTCCTACCGTCTACGGAACCAATCTCGTGGCTCAACTCTGTTGTAACACCCCGTGTTACGATCCCTAAAACCAATTAATCATTTAACCAATTACCCAAAAGAAAGAATTAAATCACAATAATTAATTAGGAGAGGCCCACCATAGTCCATGGGCCCTTATCCCTAAGCCCAATCCTTAGTCCTAAAAGGAATAGAGTTAGCAAACCTATAGTAATTAGGCCCTAAGTAATACTCTTAGATATATAAATAGGGAACATAAGGAGGCACCTAGAACTCCCACCACAACAATCTCTCACCACACCAAGAATTCCAAGAATTCCCCTAG